AAATGGTTTTTTGTAGTACAAACAGTGGAACCTACGATCAAAATTGCGATTAATATTTCAAAGAGTATTTGAACTACATTTAAATAATTAGGCTATTAATAAGTTGTGAAACAAACAGTTATAGTTAGTAGTTTGCGACAGTAATCCAAGGCAGGCAGTGCAACCGGGCGCGCCCTCATCACAAATTCTCGAGGGCACTACTACAAATGTAGGCCACCAAGTTCCCGCTACCCGCCACTAGAATATTGCTTTGTCACTTGGCGACATCTCACAGCTTTCCTAAGCCCAAGTAATTGGAAATAGTTGAAATAGACGAGTCGAAGTAACATCGCAACGTGGACCCAGTAATGTTATCGAATGTCAGTGAAACATACTGCTCATTCCCGCACCAACCGTGGGTTTCTGATACCACAGTTTAAATTATATTGTTATCTCTGTTTTTATAAAGTCATTGGCAGAAATAAATATGTTTTTAAAGAGATTTTGGTCTCAGAAACCTGCACAAATCAAGTTAAATACCTATAAACAAGAAGAGGCAGACGGATTTTCATTTAACACAGTCCAAACATACCCATCTCCCTTATGCCACATTCAAATGTTTACGCATACATGCTCATTGAATGTTCTTGAAGCCAGCATCGGCACCCATTTAGTCGGTATTAGTCTACCTAGGATCTACTAATGCATTACAAAACGGACTCTAATGTTTCATGTCCCTAAGCTGTTATGTCGATGTATTCAGAGGCTGTATTTAAATACATATTAAATAAAACTCTTGTTACTTTTCTTATTCAACACAATCATACATCTAAATTGCGCACAAGCTATTTTACTGACACACTAGATGCGTATAGACTCTTTATTTTATGACAAGACAAAACAGACAAAATTTATTGTATGTTGATCGGAATCTAATTTTAATATTTAATAATTCCTTTGTAAAATTAAAAAAAGTTACATTATGCATATTTTTTCTAATTTACTCTTTTGATTTCTTTGAGTCCTAACTTCTAATTCGATATTATTAATGCTTAAAGCCTACAATCGCATAAAGTAAGCTAACTTAATATAAGTAATCCCATAAAACTAAGTCCGGACGTTTAGTCCTTGAGATCGTACAAAAGTTTTCCCCTTCATTATTATTGAATTTCTTGTTTTGAGCTTGTCACAGATCCTCAATAAAGCGGTGAATTATGTATAAAATTTATTGCACTTGACGTAATCTGATTTATGGTCTTATTTATGAGAAAATTAATTAAATTGAAATCATCATCAGAAACAAAAGTAACAAATTATCAAAAAGGTACAAAGGGAAGGAAATCTTAGTAAACATATGAATTTATTTCAATATTATTTGTTATTACAAGTAAGATTTAAATAAACTATGCAATCGTCTATACTCTGTATATTATAAAGGCTAATGTTTGGATGGACGGATTGACGTTTTTTTGTAGATATCACCAGAACGGCTGTATGGATCTCGCTTAAATTTGACATAGATGTAGAACATAGTCTGGAAGACCACATAGACTACTAAGTTTCTTTTTAATACCACGCGGACATAATCGCGGGCGGCTGCTATTTGACATTAAAATTGTATTGTACTGTAATAGTTGAAAATAACGGTAGCCAAAATAATTTCCTACTATAATAGCGCAAATTATTGGCTATGTGGAAGAAATAATCAATAGCGCGGGGCATGCAGGCATGTAAAGGAATGTTTAGTATGCGAGCCGCTGACGTAGTTACCGCCATCTCACGGCTGGCTACGGCGATGCAATATGTAGAAACTGCTACGTGGCCTCTACGCGTAACTACGAATATTGCCTGCATAGTGTACACTAAAAGATTGTCTTTGGTTATTCGACTACTTTATTATATTTTCCCTTTTTTAAATTTGGATATACTATTGAATACTATTGATCGTCGGTGGCTCAGGGGTCAAGCACTTGACTTGCAATCTGCAGGTCCTGGATTCTAATCCCGCCATGTGCCAATGTGTTTTTCTATTCCCGATTTACATATGTACATTTATCCGATGTTCTTACGGTGAAGGATAACATCGTGATGCAACCTGCACATATCTGAGAGGAAATTCTATATGTGTGAAGTCAACCAACCTGCACTTGGCCAGCGTGGTTACTATGGCCTAATCACCCTTAACTTAGGGTGGGCTCCGAGCCCCTCGGTGGGGACGTATAGTGAGCTGATGATGATGATTGAATGTACATATAACTCTCTTGCATTGACTCTCTGTAAATGTAATATTCGGTTTCTTCAAAATAATGTCAAATAATTTTTCGTCCACTAACCTTTGCCAATAACGATATCGAGTAGCTCTTAATGTTCCACTCGTCCGTTAAACATGAATATTACGACAGAAAATATACTCGTCAAAAGTAACGCTACTCCAGTAAATATTTAGTTGTATGTGATTTTAATATGAATTATGCTCCTTAATAAAACCTTTTTTGACTCGAGAAACCATTAATATTTTTGAAACCAGTCGCTAGTAACCTGTTACTCAAGATCTTGGCGAAAAAGTCGCTGTGATTTTCAAGATGGAGGAGCAAATCTATAGAGTCCACATACAGTCGCTATGCCCGTAATGACCGAATAGACAACTCGTGTCGACGATTCACCCTTGTGTATACGGAGGCCGAGCAAAGCGATACTTGCACGTTAGGATGCAATATTAATTTCGAAGATTTACATTGGCCTGTGTACAAAGAGCCTAGCACAGTAAAATTGTAAATTTAATCTTTTCAATTTTTTTTTTAAATTATGATAAAACCTTTTTAGAAGCAACAAAACGAAAAATAAAAAATGTATTATCACTCTCATTTCGTAATCTTTGATTTGTTACATGCTATATCGAAGCAACTTGGAATAGATACAGAAAGGGACTCATTCATTTATATTCCCGACGCGTAAACAAAGATAACAACAATTTTACGAGCGACAAGTAGTCTGTTCGACGTTTTAGTTCGACGTTATACAGATTCGTGTTGAATATCGGTTTCTGTTCGCGAACAAAATTTTTCGATATTGTTGATATTTTACCTTATATTCACAAATGCTAAAACACTGCTGCATGAAGGTAGACAATATATCAAAAGAATTTGAACCCTCACAAGGTAGGATCGCAATTTTTTGGAAATTTAAAAACAAAGGACTGTGGAACTTTGTTGAGGTTCTCATTATTTCTTTTATTAGAAATTATAGTTGGCAATTAAATAATTGTTCTGATACGAGTATTTGCGAATACGTATTTGTTGCATTTCTATTATAGATTTAACACATTCTACTATGTGTTGTTGTACTCAGGAGCTAGGTAAGCATTAAGCTGATCTAAAGCACGCTATTGTGCACGTGAGACAGATATAGGGATGAGAGGCTTAACCGGATTAAGCCCGAGGCGGTTGATTATGCCTCCACTTGATTTACGATGACGCGATATTCCGAGAGTCGGGGAGTCCCGGAGCGGCGGCGAAAACGAACAATTTATAGTGTCGAAACACTCGATATAATCAGACCGGCAAAGTGGACAAGTGTGAAATATGAGACCCCACTCTGTCAGCATTCGAATAGATGAGGGTCGCGGTATTATTACTGTAACGATTCGTTTTAGAAATGAAAGTCGACATGGTACGAGACGCACACGCTTGGGGATTGCTTACGCTAGGAAACAGGCTGTTTGTATGCGGGTCGCGACGGTGATTAGCCTTAGGTAAAGACACCTTGTAGCCCAGCCAACCTTCAATCGAACTCACGAACGATTTCTAGAGCCTTCGCCTCCTATTACGCCTTTTCATTAAATGAATCGAACTGAATCTAATTTGTAATGTGAAAGAGACTGTAAAATGCTTCTTTTATCGCCCAAAACTCCGTCTACAGAATCCAGATGGTAATAATAGCGAATAGGACATTTTTTATTTTTAGTTTATTTAAACAATTTCGATGTGTAAGTTCGATATTTAAAATACCAACTCAAAATTAATCTTTGAGTTGCACATTCACATTTTATTAAATAATTGGGTGAAATAATATCCAAATTATAATTCTATTTTGAAAGTACATGTATGTTGACTCTATCAACAATTTAGTAATATCACAAAAGAGGTAGACTATACTTATTATACAATATATACGTTTTAAACAATTTCTCGCAATGTTAAACAATTTAAAAATTTATGATGATTAAAAGGAAACATTAGTTAATAGCTACATTTATTTATACAAAATTACTCTTCCGTTCTTGAAAGCTAATTTCTTTGTTCAGATAAATTATGTTACGACTTTATGATAAAGTAAAAATTTAAGGATAAAGCGTGCCGTACTTTCGCATTAATTTTGTCGTAATATTCCGTCAGATTCACATAAATAATGCAACAGTCCGGATTTTCATTACAAATTAGGCACGATCTAAGAAGTTTTATTATGTTATAAGAACTTCCTCAAGGCAAGCCCCGTATCTAAATAAAACAGTGTTTATAACACATTGTGACAATTATAAGCCACAAAACGTAAATAAAGAGTTTATAAAATATTTTATGTCATTAATCAAATATGTTCGATCACCAATTCATTTAAAATAAAGCCACTTTTATACTTATCCTCTGAATTAATAAATTAAATTGCCGTATGCAACTTATCAAAGACAATACGTCATTTCACAACCGGCAGCCGCGGCAATCGCTAACTATCGCGATATTTTTCTGCATCACAGCAAAATTGCGATATTTCAATACGACGCTGTGACGAAAAACAATGGAGTGCTATTTGACATAGGAGCAACACACGCGATCGATACCCGTTAGCGTCGATTGTAGTAGACTTAAATCGTAACTCAAAATTATGGTACGGAAAAACATCGATCAAATTTTTACTGACAATCGTGTTGTAATCACTTCCATCACAAGATGCAAAAAAACCTGAATATGTCTTAAGAAACAAAGTTTTGGTTAAGTTATTTCTCCAAATTCTCTTTATGCATATATTTATAATAATATGTGCTTCCCTAAATATATAACAAATATTATCACACAATAAAAACATTTAACGCAAAAGTATAGCTAAAATGAAACATACCTGAATTTGGTTGATTGTCGGAGTTCGGTCGGGCCGAGGGCGCTCCGTCGCGTGCCTCCACCTCCAGTGCGTAAGCTCCCTGCTTCTCTCTGTCGAACACCACCTTCGTAAAGATCTCTCCAGTCTGCATGCTGATCTCGAAGAAGTCCTTGCCCTCGTTGCGCGGCGAATCCACGATGTAGTAATACACCTAAGACAAGGAAAACAATAAATAAATAACTAACATAACGAAGTTCCATTACACCAAGGAATTCCGTTACCTTTCTTTCGCAGAATAAACTTACGAAGATTTTTCTAGAACTTTTTCTAATCCCTGAGGTAAACGTGTTTGAAATCTATTACGATATAAATAAGTAAAAACAGGTACGCTCTTTGATTAGCTTATAAAAAACGTAGGCACAAATGAGGTCCAAAAAGGGATATGTGTACTGTAGGCAACACTAGCCATACTATAATGTCAACATTTATCTACCCTCACTAATCAATCTGACAATTGACTTTGGTAACGAAAGCGCGCCATTCGCGCCAAAGGAATTCTAGCTAATAATATTAAAAAAAAAAATTTGAAATATAATGATGGAAATATTATGACATTGTTTTATGTTTGCCAGCGGCTTTTTTATGTTATAAATGAAATCCGTTTCACAAAATATTTCAGGTTTACCTCAATCATTCAACATCGTATTTTGATGGGTTAAATGTGATTTACTAATTAATAAGTGGAACGAAATGTAAAATAAGTTTGCATACTGTTTCACAAGCTTTATATAATGAATGATAATTTGTAGACACAATTAATTAAATTACGGCCAATTTACAGACTGACTGTATACACAAATGAAAAATTAATAAGCATAAATTAATAAATAATAATTAAAAATAACTTTAACTCAAGTGTCGGTAAAAATAACAAAGAAAAAATGTATTTAAGTGACATCTATGGTACATCTATAAATGTGTGCGAAGAGTATTCATGTGCCCACACCCCGATTAAAAGTGAGTCGAGGGAACCAGATGGGGTTTAGTGGGTAGGCTACTAGTCCCATTAGGGATGTGGAGAGAGTCCCACATAACCGGAGTGGCTTTCCCCGAGGCACCCGGCATGAGTAACGCATTCCCCCTCTTAAAAAAAATGGTACATCTATTAAAAAACAATACAGTTTTATTTAATGTAAAACAGAAATAATACCTGAATTGTACTGTTGATAATTTACAAACAACAGTAAAATTCAAAATAGAATAATCGTTATGACTTAGTATTCAAAATAGAGGTTACATTCAGTAAATAACCATAGCATTAGCCAGCGTAGTATAACAGGCGAGTAAATTCAAATCAAATATTCAACACTACCCTGGAGGATTTCAAGTAGCCTGTGATATGTAAATCAGTTGTGCAGCCAGACTCACTTGCTCTAGGATACATATGTCACTTAGTGTAAGTGAATTTTGCAGTCCAGGTAATCTAACACTTGCGTCGCTGCCGGCCAATCTCTGCCGTTTGCTGTACGAATTAGAGAACTTTGTGAACTCTAACTTAGGTGACTTGCAGCAATTTAATTTAATTTTATCTCTAAAATAGAGATATCGTAGTTATGATAAATAAGACTTTAGTACTAAATAAGCACAATCCTAGTTAATGAACAGATTATAAATACGAATAAATAAATATCGTTTAAATTTCTTATTTTTGTTAGTTTTCTTTCTGTTATAAAATACTAGCTGTCGCCCGCGACTCCGTCCGCGCGGGATTAAGAAAAAACTTGTAGTCGAAGCGTAATGTTATATAGACTATAGTCTTCCTCTATAAATAGACTATCCAGCAAAAAAAAAGAATTTTTCAAATCGGACCAGTAGTTCCTGAGACTAGCGCGTTTAAACAAACAAACTCTTCTGCTTTATAATATTAGTATAGATTGTTTTAAAAGTTTTAAGATACAGGTGCATTGACATTTTAATATTTCATGGATATAAAGCTTTCAATCGTAGAGATAGTTTTTTAGTTTTCTTTAAGCGATTGTTTCATCGTTGAGGGATAACAGCTTCGTTGTTTTAATTAAGCCCCTCGACGATTCTCTGAATTGGGAATCTGTCTGTTTACGAATAACGACTTTGTGAATGCTCGAAAAATGGATGCCGCAAATCCTTTGTGACAACCTATTGAGTTATTATTTACAGTTAAGGAATATATTGTAATAAAACCAATGAAGCTTGAAATCATGGTTGTTTCATTATATGAGTCGAATTAAACAGTCAAATTATATCCGTCGCAATGGAATTTACACACGTACAAACCCACATACATAGAATTTACATGTGAGAAAGAGATCACTCTCTTTTTCAGACGGGTTAAAAGCATGTCTTAATAAACCGTTCCAGCATCCTAATATTTGGATGAACTTAACTGTGTAAAAGATAATTAAGATAATTACTGTGTAATTAGATAGTTACGTTCAAAGACTAGGAGCAATTAACAAAAGCCTGTCTGATAAGAAAATGGTGCCTCCATTGATTTGTAAATCAACCTATTAGGTATAGGTTTATAAGTTTTCTAGGTTAGTCTAAAATATTAACAAAACATTTTAACTAAATCACACTGCGTTTTAATCTTTCGTATCATACATGTTGCGGATAACATTACTTAAATTAAATTGCAAACAGACTTTTACTGGATACTTGTATATAAATTTACGCGCTATGTATACATATAAAACCTCCCGCATCTATTTCAAAGCCATAAAAGAGTATCGTAAAAGTTACGATCCACTTTTGTTTCTTTGATAAATTAAAATAACCTAGCGGCACTAAGATGCTTTGATTCTACAATAAAAATCCAACTAATTAAATATACATTAAAATATACGTATTGATACCTTACGATAAAAAAATATATATTTTTTTTTAATTTCACCTAAAACGTGAAAGGAATATTAAAACAAATGGTTTTACAAAAGCATTATAAAAAAAGATACAGAGAAAAACAACTTTTTTAATCTGACATTGTGTTCGATTCGGCCAAACACTGATATAAAAATATCAAAATACCGTAGTCGTAATGAAAATATTTATTAACGTACACAACAATCGATTATTTTATTATGATAAAAAAAAATTATACGCAATCTATATTTTAGAAGCAATTTAATCTGCAACTAGACTATCCATATTATAATTCTAAGTTAAACTTCTTATATTAAACCCAATTTAAGGTAGAAACGTAATAACATATTTCTTAAGTGATTAAGACGGGAAACCTTTGTTGGTGAGTGTACCTAACAGTTGCTGACTTGTTTGGCGTTGTATTTACATCTCCTCAGAAACATGAACACGTCGTAAATCTTATTCATTATGTTCTTGTATAACATTTGAAACATACATCTAATGAAGCGGTGCAAAATTTAATATGGTTAATTTATTATCAATGTTATTTTAAATGAAAAGTTATTATTGATTTTTCGACAATATTATAAATATTAACTTAAGTCATTAAATACATGAAAGTCTGTAATTTGAAATTAAAATTTGCCTGTAAATTTAGTTTTCATGCGTATGGGACGAGCGACGTTTCTTATTTCGAACTCAAGTCTATAAATTTGCAGATTTTCTGCCTTATATCTTAACTTTATACCTACGCCTGGAGGCGTTATTGTGAATTTCGTCATGCGAATAACTCACCGTATGTAGAATGAAATAAAATAACGAAATAATTAAATAGCCGACTTTCAACCTTTTTGAAGTTTTACATTTTAATATTTTAAAATTTATGACAATATATTTCGAGGAAATTATTTGGCAGCGTTTTCAAAAGAATATTTCGTAATAAAGCTATTTTGTTTGTCATGAACAAAACAGTTAAAAAGCTAGTGAAAATTAGAAGACATCTTAGGAAAATTATAAAAAGTTGTTTATTCCAAAGTATTACAAAAGTCTTTTTGGGCCTTAAAATGTATCATTACAATAAAATGTCTCTTCTTTATTTCGAGAAATTGAAAGAGTAAATCTTTATAACAATAAAGAGCAAAATTCTATCAAAGGCTATGTAGAACAACACGAACTATTATAACTTTTTTAATCAAAATCTAATCAACCGTAAATGCCAGCTCCACAATCATAGAAAAGTAATTGTATTCTAGCTTCAACATACAAAATCCAATCCAAGACCTAGATTCTTTTAACGTTAATAAACCGCTTTTAGCTAGGGCACAAAATATTATAATGTTAGCCATTTTATATATTCTGTAATTCCTTAACCTAAAACGTTATTTAGTCTATGCTAAAAGTCAATACCACTTTTGTTTATTTAGAATAATAACATTAATCGTTTGTATTACGATCCAACAGATTATTTAAATATTTAATTATCTAATATAAAATAGAAGTATTCAACTTATCATGTTAATTATCTGACAGTATTTCGTTATCTTAAATTAAAAGTATTGTAATTGTTCGTCTGAATGACGGCCAATTTTTTTTGCCATTCGGAAAATCGAAAAGACAATGTAACAGCGGTGTTTTTGAAAAAGTTGTTGTTTACAATTCCAAAAGAAATAAATGAGTTAAAGAGGACTTTGTTATTTGAAAAAGTATTCTCCGGCGTTGACTCCCACAATAATAGTGGATTTTTTTTCGTTAAATTAAACAAAACAAGAAGAACCTTTTTTGAATGAGAGAATATTTTTGTTAATTAAAAAATTAAATGCATTTATAATATTATTTGTTTTTTATAGCCTTTAAAAAGAAGGAGACTGATATGAGTTTCAAAATTAAGTTTTTAACTAGAGAAAAGATCAAAAAGAAATTTTACCTAATTTTTTCTTAATTAATTTTACAAATGTATGATTTGAGGTAACATGAATGTTGATTAAAGAGATATTGAAGGTAACGAGGGCACAATTGACCCAACAAAGCGTCTGTAGATAGACAACTGCATCCATATTCGGAGAGGAATCAAAATGTAAATGATTTATTACCTTGAAGCTGAAAATAGATCGCTTTACGGAATATGGGACATAACATGGTTTTCTCATACATTTATTCATACGTTTTTTTTTCCTAATCATTTTTGACTGAACTTTTAAATTCATTTAAAAATCAAAACGAAGTCTTCTTTATCCAGAACTTTGAGAAAAATCTGGCTGTGTGGCGTTTAGTTTTATAAGACAAATAAAATATAATTCAGTTAACTTTATAAAAGTCTTGTATAACGCAATTATATAACACAATTGTATAACACAATTAGGTTGGACTACCACACTAATATAGGAGTCTTTACTGTAAGTGCCGATCATTATGGTACCCGCACTACACACAAATGAGTTCGCTCTAAAGTATTCATGCCGTTTGCGTACGTTAGATAATAGACATAGGCAATGTTGCGGTATAGTTTAAAAAGGTTTTTATGTATTTCTTTTATGAAACTTTTTTTTTTCATAAGGTGACAAACGAGGTAGCGGCCACCTGAATCTCTCTATTTTTTATTTAATTGTTTCATACAATGTACAATATACATAAGTAATTATAATAAAAGTGTCTAAAAATAAATTGCGGGTTTGTCAATACGCTTTGGTAAATTCATTGTGATACGTAACTGAAAAACAGAATATAATGTATATTTTCATATAGGTTTTTATCATTTCAATTTTTAATTAAAAGAACAGTTAGATTGGCATATTACGACAACAATAAAGTTAATTAACGAATTCATTTTTATTCGTATGATATTCGTTAAAACCGCATATTGCTTTTCACGATACGTAATATGTATAAATGTAGCAAAAGTAAAGCTTTGAGCTTTTGACTTTTAATGAAACGTATAAAAGCTTCATTTATAATATCTTTCCATATGTAATATTTTACTACTATGTTAACTATGCGTTCCCCTTTAATTAATATTTCATTCAACTTAAATATAACATATTATATTCTTTAATAAATATGAATGTATTATTTTATAATATATGTTTTATCAAGATTTTTTTTTATATATCATAAAGTGGAAAACGAGCGAGCGGCGGAAATCGTTAAAATAGCGAAGTGACTGTTGCCCATAGACATACACGATTGCACATGCGTTGCCTACCTTTAATTTCTTAAATACCTTTAATTCAAACATTTCAAAGGGACAAAAGTATCGAACAAAGCCCGGCTCCTTTCTATAACTAAAAAAAAACTTTTAAATATTGGAAATAAATAGATTGTTTACGAGGCATTATCTACAACTTAATATTGTTTATCAAAACTGCATGAGAGTATGGAACAAGTCAATTTCTAAACGGAAATGATTTAAATAGCTTATAATACAGTACTATACAGAAACCTAAAATTACTTACTTGATTGTTCGGGAACGTTCCATCCTTGTCGATGGCGTTGACCTGCGTGACCTTGGTGCCGATGGGCTCGCCTTCCAGTACCGTCTCTTGCTCGCGTTCCGTGAACAGCGGGATCTCATCGTTGACGTCTTCAAGCATTATGTAGACCGTCGTCTCAGATGCAAGCTGCTGTGCTCCATTGTTCTGTTATACAACACGTTGTTATTGAATCACATAAATCAATCATCCAATCCAATTATTTTTGTACACATTGGCCATAATCCTAAAAACGATTACTTAAATTTGAACAATATTTTTGCGAATAGGTTGTGAAACCCTACCCTTATTTTTCATTATGATATTAGTTTCGATGTTTATTCCCGTATTGCCTGTAAGGATTATGATTGCTTTTTTCGTTTGAGAGAATATCGGTCCATTAATCAAGCCTTTGGTCAACAGCAATAAATCAGAATTTCAACTTATGTAGGTATAACTTATAGAAATAATTATTCCGTCGAATATGGGATATGCGTTAATAAAATAATTTTGATAGCACGTAAAGAAGCGCTATTACAATTCGGAAATTTACAGCTGCAGTTGTTAGTCATCTGCATTATTACATGCGACGTGTTTTGTTCGTATGGCAAGAGATGGCGCAACAACAAACATTTTAGTGGCGACATCTATCTTTTTATTTTTGAAACAATGCGGATTTCGTTGGCTGTTGCAGTATAAAAGTAATAGATGGCGCTGTAATAATGTTGGAAAGGACTGAAAAATTAAAAGGGAAAGGCAATAAGGCACCGTAGCAACGAGCGAAATTTAAATGAACGTTTTTCCAATAATATTACTAGTAGAACTTCACCTTTGAGTTTTCCCTTTTAATGGTACGACAGTGACTACTAATTTTATCTTAAGAATTAATTATGATTAAAATGATACGATTTAATATTACCTCCACTCGAATAGTTAAATTGTACTCCTTGATACTTTCGTAGTCTAACGGATGATTGACTTTTATATCTGCCCACGTAAATCCGTTATCGGATCTTTGTTGCAAGTAAAATGTATGAAACTTGTTTGTTTGAGCGGTGGAGCCGGGCATCAGGCGATAAAACACTGTCGGGTTATTCTCAATTCCAGAACTGAAAATATTATAAATCGATATAGTAAAAATTAAATGAATCAAAGTATTAAATATATTTTGCTACTTTAGGCACATGACGACATCAAATGCGAAATCAAATGACTCTTAATTTAATAAGGATGACAAAAAGTATTCTAAACTCTACTCAAACTGAGTATAGTAAAATAATAAAAAAAAAACTAATCCAATGCAGATAAAACAAAAAAGTATGAATCACATCTAATCTAAAATCATTTTTTTTTAATAGTAAAGGTTCGATTAAAAAATAAAATTATATGATTAATGATGATAATGATCATCTCGTTAAACACATCAAAGATACACAAACATTATTGTTTACTCTATTTTTATAGAGTTTTTTAATCACTAAGGACTTGGAATTTTGATATCTCTTTTCTTTTTTAATAAATTAATCTTTAATAAATATATTTTGAAGTCGCCTCGTACCACATTAGTGCCTCTATAAAATTAAGTTTAAATTAGTTATAGTGAGTTAGTATGGTTTCGTCTTTTTCAACATTTTGTAAGTTTGAAATGTGTGTGTTTAGGACGGACGGATAGACAAATAGATGTGAACCAGGCCTGACATCAGCCGACACTCAGTGAGAGATGCACTATTAAGAAAAAAAATGCAAATACAACAATAGCACCTGCACGAAATAATGCACATACATAACATGAATTTGAGGACGATCATTTGTTCCGATAAGCCCTGACTAAACTAAAATTGATGATAAATTGAACTTTGACGAAGTATTTAGACTTAGGCAACTGACTTATCGCACCACGTAAATAAAATCGCGATTTCGACAACATAATATTTTTATACTTTTCTAAAAATGATAATGAATTATTCGCAAACAAAAAAAGCGTTTTTAATTTTAACTGAAATAACGTCTGAAATAATTTAATTAACTCCAACAAAATTAAATCAGGAATCAAGGTAGACGAGGGTTGATGTAACTAAATTTATGCGATTGATAAATGTCATGGTATTCTTGCTTCAAAAAAAATCATAATGCAAAAAAGCTAAATAACCTAAAAAAAATGATGATTGAACAATGCCACCTAAACAATACTACATAATAAACATCCATTGTTTATCAGACATGCTACTTTGATCCGTATGGTAAATGTAATAAACTGGTAACAATGACTGATGCACTTACATCTCAGCCTACATGCATACGGATACATTACTCCGATACCTACCAATATCACAAATCAATACACGCGTTGCTCAGAAACATTTCCATATAGAGATTTCATCAAATGACTATGTTTCTGAGCAATCGCACATATCTGTTATCCCGTACCATAAAAGCGTGAGCCCTTCTAAATGCACGCCGGTGATCTCGATTAAACCGCATGTGGTCGTGACGATGCGTTATTAATTAACGAACAGTTACGTAACAATACTCATCACCAAGTGAGGCAAATAATAACGACAGTTTATGACGCGCGCGACGCACTAACACCCGAAGCGCCGGCCCGCCGCGCTGCCGACCTCAACCTTTTCCAACAGTTCCACTATCATGAGTCAAAGCGGGACGTTGGGAGACCGGCAGGGCGGCGGGACCGGGGCGGGAGCGCGCGCCGCGGCGTCGCACACTGCGTGCAGGTGTCGGGGCTGCGTGCGGTGCCCGTGCCGAACAGTTAGCCACGCACCTTGCTTTAACGGACACCACTTTGGCACCGACGGGCAAATTCTCTCGAATGTAGATCGGTCCGTACACTGTGTGATCCCACACTGGGGGATTGTTCGCGCGATCCACTACGTCTATCTGGACCTCCACGGTTCTCGACAAGGGTGGAAAGCCCTTGTCTTGGGCCATAGCCTCCAACTTGTAAGTTTCTCGCTATTGGAGAAAGAGTCGATGGAAACAGACAAAACCACGTCGTTAGTAGTGTTAAGGAGTAGAGGTGCGGCGGGCCGAGGCCCGCTGCGCCTTATACCAACCTTGCTTTCACACTGGTCACTACGGTACCCACTGTGACATTCTCTTTGATGTGAACGGGGCCATACGTGGACATGTCCCAGATGGGGGGCTTATTGTTCCTGTCTACCACGTCTAATTCAACGTCCACGTCTGCAGAGGAGGGCGGGTCGCCTCTGTCGGAGGCACGCACGCGCAGTCGATACCTGTCCCGCTACAGATACACGGGTCAAAGGTCAGCGGGGACAAAACAAAACATAACACAACTCAAATATAAACACATAAGTACTCATCGCTAAGAAGAAATTAAAATAATTAAAAAAGAAATATTCTCTTTCAAAATAAAACTATTAGCTATTAATTATTAACTGAAACTTAAAGAAAAATTAACACACATTCGTCGCCCACACATCCACAAAGCCAAACTAAAACAATAGAGGAAACAGATTTCACTACATAATAAGAATTGATACCACTCACATCGTCTGCAGTCGCGGCCAAGCGCCTTTCGTACGTACTTACACTTGTACATTTAGCCAATATCAGATGGTGCAAGAAATAAAATGGAAGTAATATTGTTTACAGTATTATACACTTTCTTGTATGTACAATAAGGAAAAATATAAACTGTACATTATGATACTTTTATACAATAAAAACTAAACTAATTGTAAAAAATCAAATAAAACTTAAGGAAAAGCAGGCAAATGCATGCAGCTCTGCATACAAGACATGGCGGAAAGGTCAGCTTGTCATAGGAATGCTTAATGACCTCTTTTTTGACTACAACGAAACGACACTCATTATAATGAATATATTACAAACGATGGACGTTACTTTTAACTGTACAAATTTTGATTTGAGAACGTTGCCCCTTTCACAAAAGGAATAATGTCACAACTGGCTAAATGGCCAAATTGCCTTGTGGGCAATCTGACCATTTCAGTTACAAACTAACAATAATACAAATTATAACAATACTGGTGCCCTGTAAAAAATTAATTGTTATGATGATTATATTTAATGATATCATATGGAATGTTAATATGAGTAGTCGTCTAGCGCAGCGGTGACTACGCGACGGCGCCGGACCGCGCCCGTCACGGGTAATCCGCAACGAGCGACAGCCGGCGCCCGACATACTAAACTCGAGGTTAGTAACAAAACATGTACGTACAATATAAAAGGTTTATTCCAAAAGCGTAAGCTTCTCAAATTAATCATTAGAATATGTAATTAATAACAATAAAATAAACTTCCAAACTATTTATGTGCGAAATATACAAATGTGCATTTACAGAAACTGTACATGTTTTAGCACTAAACTTATCTCAATGGTGAAATATTTACAGCAGTATTGTATTTAATTATAAATATTTTACACAAGTCGCAGTTATCGTCAAGTTATTAGTTTATGCAAGATAGTGCTGCGGAAATAAATCTTAACGAAGATTTAGTGCGGAGCCGACGCTGGCGGCAACTCAAACTAATTGTGCTGCAAGAAGAACAAGCCCCCGGCGCGGCGGCCCCGCGCCCCGCGCGCCCCCCGCACGCCCCCCGGCGCACCCCGGGCCGCCGTTCAATGGACAACTACTCCTCACAGCCAGGATTTACCCCTCTCTCCACAGCAATTTACAGCAGCAGACAATTTAGAACTATTTACATGTAAATAAACTTAAAGTGTGTGCCAATTGAATCCTAGGGTCTGTAGGTAGCACTCATCCACCAAACTTTATAGTTAGGTTGATCCCATTCACTCATCACTCGTAGCATTACACTTTGTGAATTAATGATAATGAATATCATAATGATACTTACGTCTAAAGGTTTTTTAAGTACTATCCAACCCGATTCGGGTTGAATTTCAAAGTAGTCTATATCGGCTGGATTATACGGCGCAGTTAATGTGTAAACTATTGCACCGTTATTGTCAGCATCCTCATCGGACGCAGAAACCCTTAGTATATTAGTGCCTATGCTGGCGTCTTGTTTTACATTTTCCACATATTTCTGTAATATATACAGTATGTTATCAAATTGTTCATTGTTATACCTAACAGAACAACTAAGTAAAGCGAGTGAATATTTGTGTTTTCATGCAAATTTTGTGCGGAGTCTAGTAAAAAATACAAATTTGTACTTACTTGTCGATCGAATAGTGGAGGATTATCATTAACATCAGTTATTTCTACCGTGAAAGAGCAAACACCTTCCAACGATGGTTCGCCCTGATCCGTAGCTTTTACCGTGACCGATACAAATTTTCCATCATCACCCTCCCTATCGAATACCTTGTTCGTAGAAACTTCGCCAGTTTCTTCATCAACAGTAAACTTGGTACCTTTCTGATTTGGTTGTTGAACAATTGAATACTTAACTTGCCCATTAACACCTTTGTCTTCATCAGTCGCGTGTACTTTTATAACGGGACTTCCATTTGGAGCACCTTCTTCGACTTTAGGAAAGTATGTTGGACAATCTTTGAATATAGGCTTGTTATCGTTTACATCCGTTATGAACACAACTACAACAGCAGTTGACGTATGTATAGTCGTGTCTCCATTGACGCAACATGCACCGTCGTCCATTGCAGTTACATTCAGTTCATACTTATCCCTGTCTAATGATATAGGCTTATTGTGCAATCGAATTACACCAGTGATTTCTTCAATAACAAATTGTCCAGAACTCGTCCCTCCACCGACAAAACCAAAACGTACATTGTCACCATCTTTATCTGAAGCCACAACTGTTGTTACTAAAGTATTTGGTCCAGCGTTTTCGTCGACATTTGGAGTGTATACTTGCTGGGAGAATTTTGGTTCTTCGTCATTTTTGTTTTTAGTATAAACACGGACTGTGGCTGTACCGGTTTTTGCCGGTTCTCCTTTATCTCTAGCGGTGACGACAAATTCATAGTATGCATTATTGTTATCTGCGTCCAATTGTTTATTATTTGTTATTATACCATTGTTATCTACAGCAAAGTGGTCATCTGAAAATTAAACATAGTAAGAATTAAGTAAGTCAAAATCTACAATTTTTGTAATGAAAACATAATATTTGTGCAAAGCACTACCCGTAGCAAGAGAAAGGTATGAAAAATGTCTTCGTTTTACGAAAATCCCGGCAGTATAAAGATTTCACGATTTGCATATTAAGAACTTTTAAGTAGTGTAGCATTCGTTGTGCTATATTTGGCTCGTTCACGTACCGACACGTGTTGCCGGCTCAAAGGTCTGACATCGACTGCCGTCCCCTCTCTCCGGCATGTACTTATGGCGTGTACGCTCGAGACAAACAACACTACGTTTATGCATACACTACAAGTAGAATCAATTGTTTTTGTTATTATCTAATCGTTTTCATTTTCGTATAGAAGGGTTGAACGTACCTGAAACCAAATATTCAATTTCTGCATTCTTCCCGGAGTCGGCGTCCATGGCTTTGACCTTGAGGATACTGGTGCCTTTCGCGATGTCCTCGTCCACGTTGTGCGCTTGGTAGTCTGGCAGCTCGAATTTGGGCGCGTTGTCGTTAACATCAGTCACACGAATCGTCAACTGTAATTAAGAAGAAAGGGTACATTGTTTTATTGCATCAATGCTTAAGCGAGGAATTAAAAAAAACGTACTTTCATACCTACAATAAGTGAAAATATTGTTGTTTTTTAATTAAAAGAAATGAGCTTACATTTTATTAGTCGCTCATCTACCATGAATATCCTACTTATATTGGGATCAGTCATCTTAATCCAACCGGCTAAAACTCTGACAGTTAACAAAAATAAGACTACCTACAAATGACATAATAATAGTTAAATATAATTTTTCTTGAAATTACAACCAAGATAACATAACCGGCTAGTATAGTAGCCACCTTACTATGGTACAGTTTTTAAACAAATAATCATGATGATAACAATTTCAAAGGTATTCAAATATTAACCTCTACAGAAGTGGAGAATCCACCAGAATCTTCAGTGGCAGTGACGACAAGTGAATACACGTGCGGCTGCCGTAGATCCTCAAAGTCGAGTTCTTTCGCCAGCTTCACGATGCCCGAAGTCGGTCCGATGTTGAAAGTGCCCGCGCCTTGCCCTTGCGCTTTCAATGTGTACCGAATCTCTCGGTCCGCGAACGATTTCGCTTTCACAGATATTATACTGGAATGAAAATAAATATTAAATTATTAATTATGTACATAAAGGTTTATATATTGTTCTAATATTCCAGCAACCTTTAACTGAAAAAATAAAAGGAGAAATACACCGTTTCTTACTAATCTGGATCAAAAGAGGGTTTGTTCTCTTCCAGGTAATTCAATCGACAAAATGTAATTAACATTATTTATCAGGTTTAATCGAGTTTTAAAACTTTATTTTTTTAAAATTCTACACTAAATAAATATTGTATAAAATTCGAAACATTTCAGAAGTATATCGCGCAAAGGTAAACTGTTCCACATACACCGACGCCTCGAGCGACGAAACTCAAACGATTTTATGTCCCAAAAAGCGGCCGAGTAGAAGTGGCAAACAAGTAAACATCACACGTAGAGAGTATATGCACTTACTCCGAATCTTTCTTTTGGTTCTCAGCTATCTCTGTTTCGTAGTTGGATAGATAAAACTGCGGCGCGCGTTTCCCGCCCACGATGCTCAGCCTTTCCTCCGGTGTCGATTGAAACCGCCTCTCATCAACACGACCGCTCTGAAAAATGCAACCAATTTATAAATTAAAATTATCAAAAATTAATATAAAAATATAATAATGGCTACGTAATAAATCATAATAATGGAAAATCATATATTAAAACGCCTGTAAAATTTAAACGTATAAATGAATCCATTTAATACCATTTAAATCAGTCCAATACATTTTTATAAATCTTAATGTTTTTAATAAAAATATATTACTTTAATTTATTGCTGCCATAAATGAAAATATTTCAGGCGTGACGTTAATATCTTGGCAATTTTATTATTATTTTTTAAACTAGTTTACATCTATTCATCGGCTTCAACAACTTTAAATATCTTTAGTTTTTAACCAATTAAATGTGTAAGTATAGCTCACCTGATCTTCGGCCTTGACATACAGGACGTATTCCATATCCAATTGGAAAGGATCCGTTCCCCTCGTGCGGACGACGCCCGACCTCTCGTCCACTTCAAATCGCCCTCCGGTCCGGTCTCTAACAATGAAGTAGTGAATATTGTGGTCCGTATCTGGATCCCTAGCTTGTAGTGTGAAGACTGGTGTATTAGGAGCTGCGTTGAGTTGAACTACTGTCTGCATCGGTAATGGTCGATTGATGAAGTAAGGTGGCTCGTCATTTACATCCTTCACGTGAATGATAACCCGTTGATTATCCGTATCTGTAATTATCAGTTATTTTATTAATATCTCTTCTCAAATTATATATAAACATTTATACATATAAAAATCCTCATAACCAAAAACGCAGAAATAAATGTAAAATGAATTTGTTGTGAAAATACACAATATATGTACAGTTAACTTTTAACAATTTAATGTAGTATAGGAATTTTATGTGCACGTTTTATGCAGAGGAAGGAAATGTTAAAACGTACATTTCGCAGGCTAAATGCGTGCTGGTTATATTCATAGCTGCTGCATTTTGTTACAAAGTGGAATAAGAATTTATATCATTCTACACAGATTTAAATAAATGGCTTTAAAAAAGAAACTATCCTCTAATATATACATTTATGTGAGAATATATAAATCATGTATAAATATAATAATTATTGAGGTAATTCTAATAATACTTACACTTCAAAGCCACTGGTTAGGTTAGCGTGAAAAAAAATAATTTTAAATTAGTAAATATATAATTAAATATAAATATATAATTAATATGGGTAATGATAAAAATCTGAAAAATTAGAAGAACACATAGAGTATGCCCAAACTGTAATTTTCTACTTTAATATATAAAACAAACACTGGGGAACAGCTATTATGGATGGCCATAACAAACTGTGTCACATAGACAAACCGCCAAATAAAGAGATATAATAAAACTTCCAACAATTATAAACACGAGGTTACAAAGTTCAGTTTTAATAAAAGTAGGCAAACTTTTACTGCTACGCCGCTTCCGTCTACGGGATTTTCGTAGACCCACAATATTTCATCCAACATAATCTTTTTCTTCTGTCTTGGTTGATGTTTAAATTAGAATAAAATCAGTCCCTAGCATTCTTTACTGTACTCGTAGTTTTCATTTATGACTATCTCGAGTCTACAACTATGTAGTGTTAGGAAGTAAATCCGACGTTGTGCCGGTGTATCGGAGCAACACTAGCTTCATTAAAATATCAACGTTTATGTCCCCTCACTAATCAATCTGACACTTGTTTTGGTGTCGAAAGCGCGCCATATTCGCCAAAGGATTCTAAATAATAATATCTAAAAGTACGTATATAACAGTGAGAGAAAAGAAAATCCACTTAAATAACTATAACAAAACGAGATGCTTAGAGAAATGTAGGACGGTAAACATTCATGTTAATTGGGAGAGTAAATATAATTTAATACATAACCGGCTGACAACAATATGGGTGAATTCGTTTTGCATTTAGGCCAGAGATTTTGGACGGCAGCCAAAATTCAATGGTCATACATTCAGTATTAAACGTGGGAGACTATTTGTTTTGAGACCGCGGCGCGTCGCAAATCTCTTCGTTTACTTATCATACGTGCTCTGTTTATATTATTATAATGTAGTCACATCCAGAACTAAATTTCAACACAATTCGGACACTAAATGTAATTTTGAAAATAAGAAAAATTTTGAAAATTATTTTTCAGATCGATACATTGCACGTAAGAGCGTCGGTGGCTCAGTGGGTTACTTGATTTCCAATCTGCAGGTCCTGAGTTCGAATCCCGTCATGTACCAATGTGTTTTTCGATTTTCGATTTACATATGTACATTTATACCGATGTTCTTACGGTGAAGGAAAACATCGTAATGCAACCTGCACATATCTGAGAAGAAACTCAAAGATATATCAACCAACCCGCACTGGGACAGCGTGGTTGACTAAGGCCTAGTCACCCTTGATTTAGGGTAGGCTCCGAGCCCCTTAGTGGGGACGTCTAGTGAGCTGATGATGACATTGTACATGGAGTACTGGGTTTAGTGAGGCATTATTGTAATTATAAATTACTTTTCAACGTGTGTATGACTTTCGTTTTAATTTAGTTTGTATTCGTACAAGTTAGATTAATCTATTAAAACTTTATGAATTTTAATAAAACAGTTCAGGAAATATTTTGAAACTTAAAATTACGAACTCATAATTTATTTACTTGCAATATGCTTTCCGTGTTCTCGTTTTTGTATTTCCGGAAACATTGCTTGAAAATCACATTATGTTAATTTTTAGAGAAACTTCTCTAAACTTTTATCAACCAAATACTTCCACCATTATGCTTTTGTTTATCGTATTCCTATATTCATTCGGTTTTTGTTTAGAGCTATATCCTATGTAAAAGTAGGTAAAGCTATGAATTTCAAATTAAACTGTCTTGTCTTGTCCATAGTTATATAGTTTGTACTATTAATTCATTAGAAAAAATAATATGGTGCAAAAATATTTTTACGTAGAATCGCATTACAACTAACTTTTATATTAAAGTCGAAAAACCGTCGGACTGACGCTAAACTAGGTCGTGCTGTAAAAGAGTAATATTAATAAAGCTTGTCTTAATATAGCTCTAAAAATTTCATCCATAAACGAACTAAATTTTGTTTTCTTTTCTCTTATAAACATCTTAAATGATTAAAAATATATAATTAATTTTTTAAAAATAAAATAATATTAATCACACATCGTAGTCACGTGATACAATTCAAACGTTTTAAATCATCACGTGTTCAATTTATGTGGGTAAAACGTATGGATCTACTTTATACATTGGTATTTATTTTTTATAGGTTAATTGGGTATCACAAAAAAGGTTTAACATATTGATTTTGGATTACGATGATACGTAGAGATGAAATTAGGTACGAAAGTATTACATGTTTGATTTCAAGGCAAAGAGTTTTTTTTTAATCTCGAAAGCCGTAATCATACGTAAACGCTTCCAACTTTCCATTTGCCCTAAAAGATAGTAAAATTTTGATATCCTAGTTAATCAAATTAATTAGGAAAAAAAATAAAGGTACAGATTGTAATACGGTTTTAAAAATAAAACATTAAATGTGTCTATGTATTTCAATTTCTAATACATCCTGTATCGTCTTAACTTTGCGGTTGGCAGTATCGATACATCCTCTATGCTCAAAAATTTAATATGAACCTGAGGTTAGTGGAGCGTGGTCGCTGGTTCAGCTCCAGTATGCAGTTGGCATCTCGCCAGTACTATTGATAATATTTACCATCGCCCGGATAAAAATCCACTTCTTAACAGCAGTTATTGTAGCTAGAAATTGAAATGTCACAATTTACTTTAGTAGGAGAGGCGAAGCGGGGACTTATTTTAAATGAACTGGAACTTTGAACAACTATGAAATTTAAAACTGTTCAATCAATAATGAGCATGTATCGTTGATCTAGCTGTCGACTAGCGACTCCGTCTGCGTGGATTAAAAATATGATTATCAATTAACAAGAAAACTATCCCATCTCCCAGATTGGACTTAATTACAGATGCTTACAAATTTGAAAAGTTTATACTAAATGCGATGCCATAAAACATTTTCATTTCTTACAGGGATTTAAGTACTAGAGGATTTATGGTAATAGTAGTCTAGATCTGATAAGTTTAACAATCTATTAACTTTTTAATATTCCTATATAACCTCAAATATTCGTCGTCCAGACTTATTAAATTTTTTATAAAGGAGAAACACAACGTTGAAGGCTTATAGATAATTTATATTTCGTTATCATTTAATTATTTTATAAAAAGTCCTGTTTATTACCTTGCTTACTTTGATAGATTAAACAATATCAAAAAAATATAAATAATGTAAGCGACATAAACATTTTCTAGCATGTATAAATATGACAATAAATATTCTCATTGAATACTTTTTGCGTTCAATTCGTAGTAACGTCGTTTCAAGTTTAATTCAGCGCTTTTCAGGATCAATCGAACAAAATCAATATTGCAAATTCAATTTTGATTCCTTGATTGCGATCGAGGCATAAATGACACTCGTCTGTGCCCGTGAAATACGCCAGGTTTTAATATCGTGTGCAGAGGTATGAGGGAAGGTGGTAGAGGGATGAAACTTTGGCGTTGTACGGGGAGGTGGATAGGATGCTCGTGTAGGTGGGGAGCGCTCTTCAGAGCAAAGGGTAGGGGTAGATCTCATCCCATAGTACTCTGGTGTAGTACGCATGCGTACACTACAGCCTCGTGCTCGCCGCGTGGCCACACGACGCCCATGCCGAATGAAACTTGAGGATACTAGAAACTACGACTGCATAACGTAAATATTACATGTTACATACTCTTTATCGTTTATATCTTCTATGATTGTGGACAAAATCAAAATTTTACCGTAACATGAAATAGGGTTGTCTATAATAAGTATATTCTAAATTTAAATAACCCAACAAAATACAGGATATTTAATATCGTTTAAGATGAAAAACTGTCAGTACAATATGTAACCTTTCGCGTATGTTGTCTACTCTATTTCAAAATAAAGTATACCATTCTCTATGTATAAGTTTGCTCAATATATGCACAGAATAGTAATACCATCCCAGATGTATTACAATATTTACTGTTTCTGAAGGATAGTTACAAAGTGATGCTCTTCTATAGAGCTTACAATATGAGCTCGGAGCAAAACGCCCGAGACGAGGTAGTGAAACTTTAATAATGTTACGGATACAACCTTTGCGTTATGGATATGATCTACCAAATAATTATCTGCCATATCCATCGATTAAACCTAACGTTTTATTAACTACTGTAGCTCGCGTGTGCGTCCGCGCGGAATTAAAAAAAACTTACTAAGTAGCCTATGTGTTCTCCCAGACTATGTTCATACCTTTAAACAAACATCCATACAAACATTTGCATTTATAATATTAGTAAGAATTAGTAAGATTAACACGGTAATGCCGTTTTAACTGAATGTGCCTTGCTAATGAAATATAATCTACCATTAATTTTAAAGATTATAATAAATGGAGCGTTTCTCAGTTCAAAATCCATATTTTAAATTTGACAGCTCGAATGTCTATCTCTCAAAACGTTACATAATTACCTAATCAATATCTTTCAGACATTTGAAAGATCTTATTACAATTGGAGAAGCGTTAAGTTAAAACAAATCTGACATCTTAGTAATTTATTATGTTTTGAAAAGAATCTAAAAGTA